ACATTGGACTTGCAGATTGCTTCCATTATTGTATCACTGATACTTGTTCACAATTTTAAAAACACATAATTTAAGTTCCTCATATCTCATTGTTCTTTTATCTTAAGTGAAAAATTAAAGCAATAATTTTCAGTATAGGTTAATGAAACATAAGTGAGGTGGGGCTAAATTTCTGATTAGCCAGAGTCGGCCTGAGTTCATGGTGGGATGGTGGGATGGCAAAAACCATACAGGTAAACAGACAACTGGTCTGTAGTAGCATATTAAGGCCAATCTTCTGAAGACACTATTGTATCTGGGTGGTTTGACTTACTGATTTCTCATTTAGTCTACAAATCTCTACATGCACTAAGGCTCCTGCCTGCCTACTCCCATGAACATGTTCTGACAGAGCACCAACGATGTCAATGACAACTACCATTTCAATTACACTGTTATTACTGGCTCTTTTTCCTCTAACCACTTCCTTTAATACCAACATGCCTGGGGATTTACTGTGGTCCACCACTATTCTCCCTCTATAGAATTCTCAAGGTTCTAACTACTACCCAAATACAAAAGATTTCAGATATCTCCCCAAAGCTTTAGGCTCCATATCCAACTTCTACACAGATAACCCATAAACTCACCTTAAACTCAATATGCTGAAAACTAAACACACCATCTTTGGTGGCTCCCCACTGCCTATAAAATCCAAGCCCCCTCCTTGATCTGGCTTCACCTTATTACTTCTTCCTCTGCCTCTTCCTCACCTTATTAGAGCCTCATCCTCTGCCATCCATATTCATTTTTCCTGAATGCCTAATAAAATTAACCATCTAATATTTATTGAAGGTCCATTACATGCCCAGCACTATTCTAAGCACTTTATATGATTCACTCATCAATCTTCCCAGCAATCCCACGAGGTAGATGCTACTACTTTTACACCTCCATTTACACTGAGGAAAGTATCCTGCCTAAGCTACAAAGTAGTGGAGTCAGCATACAAACCTATATCCTGTGCTCCTTACCTTTATATATGTAATTTCTCATAAATGCCTACACATGCCAAGCACTGTCCTGGGTATTCAAGGTGAATGGGACAAACAAGGCCCATGACCTCATGGGGCTTATAGTCTAGTAAGTAAACAGAAAAACAAACAAACAAAAAACCTTATTATAAATCATTTACAAGTTCCAGGAAGAAAATAAATAGGATTTTATGACAGAAAATTCACAGAGGTGGATATACTTAACAGTGATGAAAGAAAAGCCTCTTTGAAAAAATGACTTTTAAGGAGTGACCTCATGGATAAGAAGGTGCCAACTATACAAATAGGAGGGATATATCCAGAAGAGTACTGAGTCAATAGACAGCATAAAGATGGTGTTACAGATTGAACTGTGTTCCCCCAAAATGCTTATATTGAAGTGCTGACCCCCAATGTAACTGTATTTGGAGTTAGGGTCTTCAAGGGCGTAATTAAGGTTAATAAGGTGGGACTCCAATTGGATAAGACTGGTGTCCTTATAAGAAGAAGAGGCGAGATCAATCAATCGATAGATCAATTGATCAATCCCCCCCTTTCTCTCTCCCCCTCTCTCCACATGCACACAGAGGAAAGGCCAGGTGAGAAAGTACTCATCTTCAAGCCAGGAAGAGAGGCTCACCAGAAACCAATCCTGATGGCACCATGATATTGAATTCTAGCCTCCAGAACTGTGAGAAAATAAATTTCTGTTGCTTACGCTATCCAGTCTGTGATATTTTGTTATGGCAACCAAGCAAACAAATACAAATCAGACTTAGTTGTTTTTCAGGAACTGACAAAAACCAGTGTGCTAGAATATAGAGACAATGGAGATAATAATATGTCAAAAACTCTTAAGCCCATAGATGGCAGATGAACCTGAAATAAGATGATCACAAAAATAGTACCTGTGCAAAAGTTTTAAGCTGGTTCATACTGGATTTGAAAATGTATGCTGTGGGTTTTTGTTCTCTCAGTGACTGGGAGTCACTAAAATAGTGACTAAAATACAGTAATTTATATTCCACCGTGGAATGCACAAAATGGCCCCATACAACAAAGAACTGAACCCTTCCCAAAATGTTAATAGTGCCCTATTGAAGAAAAATGGCTAATGGGTATGTCTTGTTTACATAGAGGACTATGGAAAAAACAAGGATGGGGTTGTTGTTGTTGTTGTTTAGTTCTTACATCACTAAGGATAGCTCTGAGGGAATTATGGTGAAATAATAAATATGTGTGGTGCTCATGTGTAAGGAATGGTGTCGGATATTTTGGAGCATGTCCAAATGAACCAGATACCAATCCTAGGCCTAAGAGCCACAGTAAGGTAGATATGATGCCCCATTTCATCAAATCTAAGGTACCAGTCATTATGTGTCACATTTTATGCACAACTAAGCAAGTTAATTACGACATTAACTGTAAAAATACATCCTAATTTCAGGGCTGTTAAAATGTAGAGAAAAAAAGGGCGCCTGGGTGGCTCAGTCGTTAAGCGTCTGCCTTCGGCTCAGGTCATGATCCCAGGATCCTGGGATCGAGTCCCACATCGGGCTCCCTGCTCGGTGGGAAGCCTGCTTCTCCCTCTCCCACTCCCCCTGCTTGTGTTCCCTCTTTCGCTGTGTCTCTCTCTGTCAAATAAATAAATAAAATCTTTAAAAAAAAAAAAATGTAGTGAAAAAATATACATCTTAAACAAATGAAAAAGAATATGAAAATAGCTAAATGCAAATAGAAGTCATATAAAAGAGTCCATAGAAGGCATGTATTGTTTCATGCAGAAGGTAGTATTTAAGCCAAATCTTGAAGAATAGGTAGAAGTAGGAAGAGCAGAGCTTGATGAAGGAATATTTTTAGCAAGAGTAAATTGCAAGAGGTAAAGCATAGCAACAATAAAGTGAGGTATGGCAAGAGAGAACTATTTAAAGAGAAAACACTATTGAAAAGTTAGAAGGACAAGGGCTAGGAAAACCTTGAATACAGCTAGGCTAAAGAGGCTGAAATTTATTGTATATCCTTGGGGAATGGTTCTCAAACACTTTTCGTTTTTTTACCCCAATACACTTTGGAGCTATAGTACACATAAAAAAATGGGGCCACTCTAGCAGTGATCCTCAACTATAAGAGATGCAAGATGAGCAAAAGCAATTAATTCTTCTGAGAATAAATACAGAAAAAGCTGTCCAGAAAATCCTAACTTCTACCCTTACCTCACCTGGATAATCACTGCTTTCTACACACTAAAAAAAACCCAGAAAAATTTGAGTACCTTTTCAGGAAAGGTAATCCAGGAGAACTGTGTAAAAATGAATGAGTATTAGAATAAGGATTAAGGATTGAGAATCTATATAAGAAGCTGATCTTCCAGGAAGAAGTGAAATAAATTCCTATTATTAGATTAGTGATAATGGGGAAAATGTATGATGCAACTATTACAAGAAACAGGAAAAATAAAGGAAAGAAAAAGTTTAAAATACAACGTAATAAGCTCAAACAAGGACAAGTGCATTCCAAAATATTGGTGATCATTCAGGTGATGTCTAAAAGCATCCAAGATTAAGAAAAGTGGAATTTAGGTCTGGAAAAAGCTGTGAACATCATCTAAAAAGAGTTATTGAAGCATAATATAGATAAAGCCACCAAAAAGAAGGCAAGAGAAGGTACTGCAAAGACAAATTTTTTGAAGTAAACACGTATTAAAGCATTTAGTAGCTTTACTATAAATGTCTTCATATTTTATAATAATCTCATGCTGATCATCATCATCGCTAATTTTAATACTATAAGTTTACAAACAAAAAAGCAAAGCATAGTGAAGATTAAGAACATGCTTAGGATCATACAAAGCAACTTAAAAAGGGAGCATTTCATTAATTTCCAATCCGGTATTATAGTCATTTAGAGATGCCGTGTGTGTGTGTGTGTGTGTGTGTGTGTGTGTAAACTTAGTCAAAAAGCAAAAGTCCAGACCCCTGAAAACAGAACTTGAGAACAACCAAGACGGTATAATATAATTATAGGGGGAATTAATGTTTAAATTCCTAAATGGCTTTATTCCAAACACTCAGTTATCCACTTCAATCTATGAAAAACTGCAGGTATATCATAGTATTGAATTGTTTTCTCCTTAAAAAAAAAAAAAAAAAAAAACCTTTTGGAGATAGTGAAAATATTTAAGAACAATATTTTTAAATCAGATTATTTTTTCAAGTATTTTTTCAAGTATTGTTAAAGGATAAAGGCAGTATGATCTTTGTATGTGAAAAAATATGGTTTCAAGTCACACATGGATAAGAAAGAAGAAAATCTATAATTTTCTGGTGTTAAGACTTAAATTTGTTACAAATTTACCAAACGACTTTAATTAAACTCTATTCACTTTGACTGAAATACCTTTTGACAACCTTCCTCCAAAAGTGGGAACATGAGGCTTGGAGGGAAAGAAAAGAAATGGAGAGAGAATAAGGGAAACCAAGAGAACAAAAAAAAAAAAAAGAGAGAGAGAGAGAGATGAAGGAGAGGAAAGGTGACCCAGGTGAAGAACTACTAACAGAATGAAGATGGTAGAAATCATCATACTGCCCCAGAACAGATTTATTGAGCAAAGAGAATGATGGGTTTTTTGCTGGAGGTTGGGCATGATAAAGAGTCTTGAAAATCCTACAGGTTCATCTACTAGTACTATCATGCAGGTATTTTTCTCAAAACACTTGCATAAGTCAGAAGAATCTAATAAGGAAGATGCAACCAGCCCACAGTCTGCAATTTGTCTAAATGATTAGACAAACTGAGATGGCCGATATTGAAGTGCCTATTAATAGCTTATTGATACATGTTCTTGAGCTACTTCACCACTACTTTCACATAAGCAAATTCCCTTAAAGGAAAAAAAAGTCCAAGTAATTTTCTAAAACTACACGCCATACAACAACACTATGGTTAAACTTACACATGGCAAGAAAAGTTTTGAAAAATGTGAAATACCTCAGTCTGACCTTCATGGGCACTGGTCTCATGAGTGACTCGAATAGCCTGTAATAAGAACACAAGATATTAATTGGAAAAAATGACTATATCCAAAATTTTAAAAGAAAACAACAATGCTAAATTTTAACATCTAAAGCTTTGTTAAGAGATAACAAATTGGAAGAAATTTAGGAACAGTTTAATATTAAAGAATGATTTCTGGATAACCAAATGAATTGCTCTACTTTCCAACCCACAAATCCCTGAAGACTTAGGAAAGTGACTATCTGATTATTTGTAATTTCCAGACGTGAAGTGGGAGCCATTTAAATTATTTGTTAGAACTAACGTTTTAACACTTTATTCAGCTGGGACTAGAATAAAGTAAGCATCTCACAGATAGAGACTGGAAAACTTATCTCATCTGCTTCTCCAGGTTACATGCTCCTCTGCAGCTCTGGCTGTAGTTATGCTTAATCATGCAGCTTCAGTCAGCAGTTTAAAAATGGGGAGCAGAAAGCATGCATTTATCAGAAGCTAGAGATTTTAGTTTTCTGAACTTAAAAAAAAATGCTCTTATAATACCCACTATTAGGAAAGATGAAGAAAATGGGCAAAAGTAGTAAATTTCGGGTGAAAGTACCTTTATGAATGGCAATTTGGCAGTAAGTATCAAAGCCTTAAAAACATGCAAACTATTTGATCCAGCAATTTCTGTTCTAGGAGTTTATTTACACGTAATTGTATATAAGTATATATAATTAAGGATATCTGTAAAGATTTAGCTACAATAATATACCTTGTAGTACTTTTTTAAATAGTGAATAAAGAGGAAAAATATTAAATTTCCAACAATAATTTATTGGTGAAATAAAATACTGCACAGTGGAAAGCTATGCAGCCATTAAATGATGATGTCAAATATATACTTACTGGTATGTAATAATTTGTGATAAGTTAAGTGAAAAAAGCAAGTTATAAAATAATATTACAGTGTGATCAAATTTTTGTTTTAAAAAATTGTGTATATATATATATACTCCCTATAAAAAATATGAATAATGATGGCTATCTCTCATTGGTGGGATCACTGGTGACTTTTGTGTTGTTTATTTTACTTTTGTGTAAAATAAAGATATCTTATGAGATCTGCTGGGTTTTTTTTAAGAAAAAACAATTTAAGATAATCAAAGTGTTTAAGAATGCTAAAACAACATAATAAAATCAATGAATTTATTGGGCACAAACTCTGTGTAAGGCATTTTTCTAGCCAAATAATCTGTACACTACACCGCTTCTAATTTCAGAGAACTTACCATCTACTTAATAGTGTTACCAAAAGGTAAAAAGAACTTCAAAAGAAAAACAGATTTCAAAACCAATGAAATTTAAATGCCACTCTAAAACCATTCTATGAAATGGTACAATCGTTTAAAAGTAGATTATGTAGCCTGTGTCTTCACACATGCAAAAACATTACTAAGAGGATGAAAGAGCTAAAGTATGGTCTGGCATCTACCATTAAACCTTTGCTTTTTCCATTGGTATTCAGCCTTGTTCCAAATTCCCAGTGAAAAACACATAGGGTATTGGCAGGCATATATTTATTTATAGGGAGGGAATGGTAAGCAATAGTCAATCATAAAATATTTTTAATATTTGTCAAACTTTTTTTCTCTCATTCAGCTCTGGATGTAGAAAAGAAGTGGCAATTGATCAACATTTATGGATATTTCAGGTAATGACACAACAAAATCCACAAGTGCTCAAAACTAGTTTCAAGATAAACCCGCAAACAGAATCTACAATCCCACAAAACTGCCCATAACTGAGATCGAGACAAAAAGAAAGTACCGACATCATAGTTCTCTAGGTATCTGGCCCGTTCTTCAGGACTCATTGACACAGACTCCTCGAGGAATTTTTTCAAGGTTGATCCAGATTCTGAGAATATTAAAGAAGATAAAATTGAAAAGGTTTGCTATCTCACTGATATATGAAAATACTATTAGCATGCTAACTTTTTCGGGTAAAAACCTTTTCACTGGTAAGCTGGGAATGTAAGAAAATTGGGATAAATGATAGGCTTTAAGTTGTTTGTTAAACCTCTGTTTATCAATCATAAAAGAATGGGAAAGATTAATACTTCTTCAACACAATATACATTGCCATTATAAAAGGAGAGAGGAAAAGGTTTCCTTTACTACTTTAAAAGAAAGAACTACAGCACCACCTACTGCTCAATAAGTTAACTTTTAACTTAGCGGGGTGAGGGGGCCAAGCAGTAACACAAAATTATTTACCAAAGTGCATCTTGTCTTTATTGTTGGCAATAGCATGGATCAGTCCAATTGTTCCACAGGCATTGCTGATTGTTTGCTTCATGAAATATACTGATGATGTAACATCTTGTCCCTGAGATTTTATTTTTTCCTCCTCCTCTGTTCTGAATACTTCATACTATTAAAAAAAAAAGGTCCAAAAAAAAAAATAAGTCAATAGTCTACTTATGAAAATAATACATTAAAAAGTACTCAAACATAAAACTGGGAAACTTCTAATTATCCATCAATAGGGATTTGGTTAACATACTATGGCATATCTTAGTGGAATACTATAAAGCACATAAAAAAGAATGAAATAGATTTACATATTCCAACTCGGAAATTTGTCTGTGATTATGGGGTGGTTCTAGGTCAATAGACATTAAAATGATTCTCATTTATGTTTTTAAAATATCTACTTTATAGGGGCGCCTGGGTGGCTCAATCGGTTAAGGCTCTGCCTCTTGATTTTGACTCAACTCATGGTCTCAAGGTTCATGAGAGGGAACCCTGTGTCAGGCTCTGCACTGGGCATGAAACCTGGTTAGACTCTCTCTCTCCCTCTCCCTCTGCCCCTCCCCATCCACTTGTGTGCACATGAGCGCTCTTTCATTCTCTCACTCTCACTCTCTGAAAACAAAAACAAAAACGGTTAAAGGGCACCTGGGTGGCTCAGCTGACTAAGCATCTGCCCTCAACTGAGGTCATGATCTTGGGGTCCTGGGATAGAGCCCTGTGTCAGGCTCTCTGCTCATCGGGGAGTCTGTTTCTCTCTCCTTCTGCCCCTCCCCTCTGCTCATGCTTTTTCACTCTCTCTCTCAAATACATAAAATCTTAAAAAGAAAAAACATAGAAGCCTGAAACACTTTGTATTCCTAAAATACCCACTAGATATCCTTTGAGAGACTTTAATATGTCACTTATGAACAGAATAAGAATACACCAAATTGTAAGAGAGATCCAAAAGTGGCAGAAGTCATTATATTCCCCACTTTAGTATTTTAGAAAATTGTGTTCTTTCTAGCAATAGGCACAATGAGCTTTTCAGTACTGGTGATCCACTAAATGAAGAGTCCAATTGATAAGGACAACATGCTTTTTTTAAATAATGATGACCCACTAAATGAAGGAGATCAAATCCAATTTATTCTTTAACTAAGAAAGTGAATAAAAAAATAAAAATAAACTTTAAAAAAAAGACAGGTCATAAAACTCAATGTTTTGGGAAATTTCCAATTCAGACCATAAACTCATATCTGTATCACACCAACTAAGAAATCCTAAGCGTTAAGCAGCTGTTTTTTTTTCCTTTTTATTATTCCTTACAATTGGAGTCCTGGGATAGCTATCTATTGGCTTACTTTAGTAATCCGAAAAAAAGGAAAAGAAAGAAAAGAAAAGAACACTGGACTAAGAGAGAGTAAACTTAAGTGTCCTAACTCCTTCTCAAATTTCAGAATAATTACAACCTCACCATTAAAAGTAGTTTAGTCTAAAAACGGATAATCATCAAGAAATTTCTAACTCTGAATTTCTATATTATAAACAACAAATATGAATAAATATCCCTTCCTTAATTTTTTGTAGCACCTTAAGTAGAAAAGAGAAATATTTCAGTATTTTTTTATTTATATTGAATTGAGGCTAGTTATGGCATAAAGAAAATTATCCAGGAATTTCTAGGACTGAACGAAGCCTAATTCTTATTTTCTGTGAGACTTGGCTCCATTTATTCCTGAAAAATAAGATGACCTGAGCATGTATACACCAACTCATCAGTACTTCACTTCTCCCACATCTTTCCATTTACTTCCTCATTTTTCACAACTACTGACTTCATCCTGTTGTTTCCAAGTTTAAAAATAAAAATCAGAAGGATATGAACTCAAAAGCTGTTTTAAAAATTAACATAATAAAAAAAATTACTAGCAAAAAAAAAAGAAGTATATGGAGAAAGAAAAAAAAAAAGAACTTAAAAGTTCTGGCTCCATAATATATATATCTAGACAAGGCCTGAAATACGGAGATTTGAAATTAAATACAGAACTCTAAGAACAGCTAATTATAATCCCCAACACATCCTAAATCTACCAATAAAGCTGTATTTAAACTTAATGATTTCCACACATACTGAGTTTATTCTGAAAAGACTTCTTTTTATATATATATTGGAAATAATTACATATTTTATATACTGAAATTGTGAATATTCTTTATTCATACCTTCTCTAAGACAGATTTAAGATTATTCTAGTACTTAACATTTCTAAAGCATATACAACAAAATGTGATTAAATGTGATATCGAAACACGCTGAGGCAAAAAATCATATTTTATAAAAGAAGAAAATTAGCCAAGTTTAAAAGTCTAACTCAGGGCTTTACTGTCAATCTATACATTAAAATCTAAATATCAGCTCTTTTTTTTTTTTTTTTAAGTTGAGGAGATACAATTTTTTTTTTTTTTAAAGATTTTTATTTATTTTTTGACAGAGAGAGACACAGCGAGAGAGGCAACACAAGCTGGGGGAGTGGGAGAGGGAGAAGCAGGCTTCCCACGGAGCAGGGAGCCTGATGTGGGGCTCGATCCCAGGACTCTGGGATCATGACCTGAGCTGAAGGCAGACGCCTAACTGACTGAGCCACCCAGGCACCCCAAAACTAGGTTTTTTTTTAAGATGTCTTTTAGATTTCCTCATTTCATGCAAGAAGGAGGTCATCTGTTCTTAAAGAAGAGTATGTTTTTAATTCAACATTGAAAGAAAACATTACATTTACCAGAAACTTTGTTATCTTAGTTAACAATTACCTTTTCTGTAATGGGGAAGAGAAGTAACACTGCACACACTGGTCTTGGTACCATGCTAAGGAGTTCAGGATCCATTCCATATACATCAACAAACTGCCAGTTAGGATGTAGACCTAATTGTTTGAGAAACTGGTAAAAAGTTGAAAACAAACAAAAACTGTAAACAGGGAAATAATGAACATGTATTACTACAAATCTAATAAATAAGAGGGAATGAAAGGTACAATTATTACTGATGTTTAGTAAGAATGAAGTAAAGCAGGTTTTCCATGAACAGGGTGGGAAGAGACAGCAATATATTATACCAATTAAAAAACATTAAAATTTTATAATATATTAAGCAAAATCCCTTTTTTAAAAATCCATTACTTTGGGATTGAACATAATAAACCAGGACTTCACCAAACACATACAAGTTAGTTTGGTTGGTATGTTAAACTCATTTCCAGTACATGATTTTTAAGATGTATTTAGGTCCGAGCAAATAATTATATTAGATGATCAACACAGTTTATCCTGCTTACCAAAGATGAGACTTGAGGTTTAAAGATAGATATACATCACAAATTATATCAATGAGCAAAAAGTACATAAAGCCAAAGAAGTCCAGTGATAATATGAACACCAGAAAATGCTTGATATGAGAAGTAAACTATGGGCTTCCTGACCTCTAGTACACAGTGAAACCTATTCAACTTCACTGTCTTTCATACTTGGCAAAACAACTGTAACAAAAGATTAGTGTTTTTTTATTTTTTAAATATTTTATTTATTTATTTGACAGAGAGAGAGACAGCAAGAGAGGGAACACAAGCAGGGGGAGTGGGAGAGGCAGAAGCAGGCTTCCCGCCGAGCAGGGAGCCTGATGCGGGGCTCGATCCCAGGACTCTGGGATCATGACCTGAGCCGAAGGCAGACGCTTAACGACTGAGCCACCCAGGCGCCCCAAGATTAGTGGTTTTTTAAACTCCTAAGATTTCATAGGAAAATAAAATGTCAGACCCTAATCTATTGCAGAGAGAAAAAATGAGAATGATGTCAATTTCACAATGAAGTCTTAATAAATGTTTGTGTTGAATGAAGCTGTTAATTTATAAAAGTACATCACCACAAAATAAGGTTTAGATGAAAGAAAAAAAGGAGCAGAGGGGGAAAAAATCATATTAAAAATGCATCATGGGGGGCGCCTGGGTGGCTCAGATGGTTAGGCATCTGCCTTCGGCTCAGGTCATGATCCCAGGGTCCTGGGATCGAGCCCCACGTCCGGCTCCTGGCTCAGCGGGGAGCCTGCTTCTCCCTCTGCCTCTCCCCCTGCTCGTGCTCGTTCGCTCTCTCTCTGTATCTCTGTGTCTCGAATGAATAAATAAAATCTTTAAAAAAAAAAAAAATGCATCATGGGGCAGCTGGGTGGCTCAGTCAGTTAAACATCCGCCTCTTGATTTCAACTTGGGTTATGATCTCAGGGTTGTGAGATTGAAGCCCATGTTGGGCTCCCCGCTGGGCATGGAAACTGTTTAAGATTCTCTTTCTCCTTCTCCCTCTGCCCCTCCCCCTCTAAAAAATGCATCATTATATCTTAGTTCAAGAATATAAGTTATTGGGGTGCCTGAGTGGCTCAGTTCAGTTAAGCATCCAATTCTTGATTTCAGCTCAGGTCATGATCTCAGGGTTGTGAGGTAGAGCCCCATGTTGGGCTCTGAGCTGAGCACGGAGCCTGCTTAGGAGTCTCTCTCTCCCTTGCCCTCTGCCCCTTCCTCCCCTCTCTTGCATGTGCTCTCTTTCTCTAAAAAAAAAAAGAAAAAAGAAAGAAAGAAAAAAGAATATAAGTTATCTATTGATCTAACATTATCTAAAATTTGAAAATAAGACAGTGCCTTGGGTACTTCTCCCTGAAGAATGATTGCATGTACTTGGACCATCAGTTGAGATCTTGCAAAACCAATAGAAAATGCCATGTTACATAAACAGTGCCATTCGTCTCATAGTCAGGTTCTATAAGAAAAGACTTTCCTAATTAAACAGAGAAACTCCTTCTCTGCCTGGTGAAGAAACTCTAATGATAATATGGTTGGTCAAAAATAAGGTCCTAGATATGTTTAATAAGAAATATATTAAATTAAAAAACTTCTCTCAGCAGAATGTGCTCAACACCTATTAAGTTTATCAAGTCACATGCTCTCCAACAGTCTGGGGCCACAGAAATCAACGGGCTCCTCTGTATTATACCTATTCTTCATCTGATTCCCACTCATTCCAAACTACTCTCTCCATTCTCCACTTTCTCCAAAATTCTTAGTTAATGCCCTTCTCAATATTCAGGTTTTTTTAAAGCACTAAACCAATTTATTTAGTTTTATCTAGAAACCAAAAAGAATTAAAATTGACAAAATCAAGGGAAGGAACTGTGTCTTATTCATTTTTTTAATCCCATCCCCTAGCACTGTACCTGGCTAAACCAAAGACACTCAAGTTATACTTGTTGAACTGAAGATTATATCCCTATTTTAACAAATAATCTTGCCATCTGTATGTCTATGTATGTCCATTAAGCTATGGACACGTATTTAAAATGTATTCATTTTTATTTGTGAAAGATGTATTTGCCTAATCTAAACCAGGCATTCATTTAATCAACTCAGAATACTACCTGCTCAGTCTACAACCATACCACCCTGAACGCACCCGGCTCTTGTCTGATCTCAGAAGCTAAGCAACGCTGGGCCTGGTTAGTACTTGGATAGAAGAATACTACCTGCCCAGGATTGAGAGCTCTAAAAGTAAAAGTGTCATGAACCCTGAAAAGAGGAATTAAATTTGTTAATTTTATATACCCCCAAAAGTCATACAGTCATAAAATTATAAAACAAGATGGTACACATAACAGAGTAATTTCACATCTGTGCCGCAAACAGCAAGTAACAGTTAAACATTTTAGTGACACTCTGGACAAAACTGGCCAATTACTGTGAAGTAGAGGGCCTTTGTTGTCAACTGACTCCATGGCAGCCAAAGTTATTAAGTACAAAAAGTACCAAGATCCAAGGCAGCAACTGTAGTGAGACTGGTAAGTAACAAACTGAGGAATGAATGACTAAATTAACACAAAAATGGCTAAATTTTAACTGGACTCACACTTTTTAACTTTTTACTCATATTGCTAATCAAATGAGATTGATATAAAAAATTCAATCAATATCTATCAAGTACATTAGTTGCATCCTCTGACTAGATTTCTGTAAGATTCACACAGGAAGTTATCATATGAATAAAAAGAACAAAAGCAGCTATTAATAGTAACTACCTCTGGGAAGTGGAGAAAAGTGAGAAAGGGTGAAGAAGAAGGCTTTCAACTTTTACCTCTCACTTTTTTTTTTAAATCATGAAGCTGTCTTACGTTGATCATGAAAACAAAAACAAAACTTGTGTTTAAAATTATCCTATCGAAACAGAGAAAGATTGGATGGAAATTTTCTAAAATATTGACTGCAGTTAGCTAGGGTGGTGTGAACTCAACTTTTTTATTTTCCAGTTTTTAAAAAATGTGTTATTTTTACAATAGGTATATATAGTTTGTAAGTTACAAAAAAAAACAACTATAGAACTGACACACATATGTATTTTGGCTAAATTTACAAAACTGGAGGAAAACTCAAAATAACAATCTTAAAACTATTCCAAAAAAATCTCTCCAGACTACCCACAGAGTATTCTATATATGCATTTGCAAAGCCATCTCTACACAGTTAGAAGCATCCAGTTTGCATCAAGCAGGATAACAGACTTAAAACCTCTAATACCAGTCTCTTGGCTTTTCTAAACATTGGATAACAAAATAACAAAATTCTGATTGATTAGCTCACTAAATTTTCACAATGCCACTAAAATTCTGTCCAGTCAAGAAAAATGAGTAAATTAGAGTATGTGCCTTTAGGGGCGCCTGGGTGGCTCAGTAGGTTAAGTGTCTGACTTTAGCTCGGGTCATGATCTCAGGGTCCTGGGATGGAGCCCTGTGTTGGGCTCCCTGCTAACAGGGAGTATGCTTGTCTCTCTCATGCTGCCCCTCCCCCTGCTCATGTGTGCTCTCTCTCTCAAATAAATAAAATCTTAAAAAAAAAAAAAAAAGAGTATGTGCCCATAAAAGATCCTTAGGCCACTTATCTTTTTTATTCTATGGTCCAATGACAAAATTTTCTACCAAATAAATTTAAAATTATTTGTAAATATTTTTAAAAAGTATCATGTATCAGAAACCATGCTAAAAGGTTTAATGTACTTCACCTTTATTGCAACTGGCAAGGTAGGTTTTATTTATTTTTTTATTTTTTTATTTTTTTTAAAGATTTATTTACTTGTTTGAGAGAGCGAGAATGAGAGAGAGTACATGAGAGGGGGGAGGGTCAGAGGGAGAAGCAGGCTCCTCGCTGAGCAGGGAGCCCGATGCGGGACTCGATCCAGGGACTCCAGGATCATGACCTGAGCCGAAGGCAGTCGCCTAACCAACTGAGCCACCCAGGCGCCCAAGGTAGGTTTTAATATAGCCTTTTACCAGTGAGAAAACGGAGTCTGAGAGTTTACATGATTCTTTAAGCTCACACTGCCAAAACCCACATGCAGAGCTCCAGGATGCTCTCATCCCCCTATTTACTTTTCTAGCCTCATTTTTTCATTGTCTGAAGTCTCTTTTTTTGTACCTTGTTCTCTAACTTTAGCTACAAAGAACTCTTTGCATTCTCAAAGGGTCTATAACCACCTATTCCCTCCGGGTTTTGCACAAAAACTAGATTTCTCTACCTGAAAAACTGTTACCCTCTGCCCCTAATTTATAATGAATTCCTCCTCCTTCTTTAGGTGACAATCAAATAACAAAGACTCTGATTTTATAAATTGAAGAAAATAGAAAAATAAAATTCACTTTCCTTTCAAATTTGTTCTAAAGCCACTTTCTTCGGTCTTTAATGGCCTGCTCAGGGCAGCAATAAACTCCTCCTTATTACTTATTTGTTAATGATTTAGGTTTTAACAGAAATTACATTTATTTAGTATTTGCTTGATATTACTACTAATAAACATATACTACTAGTAATTGCTAGATACAGAAATAGGAGAATAGTAGTTAAATGAGAATAATTTTTTCTATCACTTAACTGGTTTTATTCCAGGTAAGTCCTACCTGCAACATGACAAAGTATCCTTAGAAGGGATTGACAGCATATTAATCAGTAAGAAAAATCATTGCTTATCACATCTACAGAGACACATGGTTACTACTTAATATCTGACAGTTAATAATGATCTCCATATAGTAAATATGGATTGATCATTCTTCTACAAATTAGGCATCATTAGAACATAAAACAGTATTTGCTCAAACTAAGAGTACAATAATAACATATGCAACTATCAAACTGTAACAAGTAAAAGGCCTAAGATTCCATTAAGATAGGGAAATAGTGTGGGGATAGATACTGTTGGGGTTTATCTGGTTTAATTTACTAATTCTCCAAATTTTAAGTCAGTTATTAAATTTCTATTCATTTTCTACCCTCAGTTTTGTCACTAATACACAGAGAATAAAGAAACAACCACAAAAATTTTGGTTAAAACTAATCACTCCTTAGATTTTTTCCCATTCTCCCCTAAAAGCATATTACTTCTTTAAAACAAACTGAACCATGCCAAAGCAAGCCAGAAATAGTATAGAATCATACACTAAATAACATCTTTTCCCTGTTTATGTCACCTCAGAATGGCCTCCTGTCACCATCCAACCTATTATGTTTCTCCTGATGGTCTCGATCACAGTACCCTATTAATTTTTTTTATTGCACTTAAAACAATTGCTAATTGTTTGCTTACTTGTTTATTGTCTATCTTCCCACTGAAATGAAAAGCAGAAAGCCATGAATATTTTAATCACCAAAGAATAACCAGCTCCTTCTCAGATACCTGGCATTATAAAAGGTATTATTATTTATATTATATAAATATTATTTAATTAATGCGAAAAAGTACACTTTTTTTTTTGTGGTTTCTTTTAGTGAATGTGTTTTATAGTTTATTAAGAGTACCTGGGGAAAGTCCAATAGCAGCTAGATCACATCAGAGTTAAATAAGTTTATATCTTATTAACAAATAACAATATCATCTAAAAAATAGTTTTGTTCATTAGTCTGTTATATGGTTAATTATATTGATTGACTTTTGAATGATGAACTAGCTTTCCAATAACCTGCAAAAACTGCTTTTAGTCATGAATTATTATCCTTTTTACATGTTGCTACATTCTTTTTGCTAACATTTTGTTGAAGATTTTTAGATCCCATGAGGGATACTGGTCTGCAGTTACTCATATTATGGCTTGTCTAGTAATGCTGGCCATTAAAATGAATTGGTAAGTGTCCCTCCTCTTCTATGTTTACACAGAATTGGTATTATTTCTTCCTTAAATAATCATCTCAAGGGATGCAGAAAAGTCATTTGAGAAAATTGAACACTGACTCATGATAAAAACTCTCAGCAAACTAGGAAAAAGAGGAAACTTCTTTATCTGAGAAAAAGTATTTACTGAAACCCTACAATTAATATACCTAATGATGAAAAATCAAATGTTTTCCACCCAAGGTCTGGTACAAGACAAGGACGTCCTCTCTCTCCATTCTATTCAACTTTGTATTGAAGGTCCCAACCAGTGCAATAAGAAATAAAAAGCACACAGACTGAAAAGGAACAAATAAAAAACAGTCTATTCACAGATAAAATTATGGTCTATATAGAAAGTTCCAAAACATCCACAAAAAAGCCACCAGAGTAAGTGAATTTAGCAAGGTAGTAGGATACAAGTCAACATATAAAAATCAACTGCATTTCTATACATAGCAATGGACAATTAGAAATTGAAATTTTAAAACAGTATCATTTACAATAGTACCAAAAATCATTAAATATTTAGGTATAAATCTAACATATGTGCAAGTCCTAAATGCTAAAACTACAAAACACTGTTGAATGAAATCAAAGAAGACCCAAGTAAATGATGAGATATACCACCTTAATGGATTACAAGACTCAATATTTTTAAGATGTTAATTTCCCCAAATTAAATCTATATACTTAGACACACATTCACCATCAAAATCACGATTTTTTTGTAGAACTTGATGAGCTGATTCTAAAATTTGTATGCTAAGGCAAAGGAGCTATAAAATAACCTAAAACAATTTCAAAAATGAACAGTGGGAAGATCCATACCATTCGATTTCAAGATTTACTACAAAACTACAGTAATCAAAACAGTGTGGAATTGGGAAAAGAACAGATACATAGATAAATGGAAAAGAACAGAGTCCACATATATGGTAAACTGATTTTTCACAAAAGGTGTAAAAATCATTTTGGATTAAATCTGAGAGAAAAATACCTCTTTCACTATGGCACTAAATCAGAAGTTGCAAATACTGACTTTTTCGGCCCAAAGATTTTTTTTCTCTTTTTACAAAAGTGTCAAAGTGTTTTAAGGAAAAAAATTAACAGCAAATTTCAAAGGGGGGAAACAAAAGAAAATGGACATGATAATGGGCAGGGAATGCCACCTAAAGAGTAATATAAAAGATATATGCTGGTTTTCAGTTTTTTACATTTCTAGGTTACTAAAGAGACAGAAGAGTTTGGAGTCATTCTGAAAACATAAAATAAACTGCATAAGATTTAGGATTTGCTGTCAACATTAAAATAAAGCATTTCTATCTACTTTCTGTATATAAGGAATTTTCTACAAGCTTTGAAAACAAAAAATCAATTAAGTATGTGATGAATCATTATTCCTTGGTGATGAAAAGGAAGATTATGGGGGGCGGGAGGGAAGTATATCATATGATAAAGTAAGAGAGCAGTAAAAAGTCAATGAGCTGTTGAGAATGAAAAACAGGCCAGGACAAAATACACCTGAGCAAATCAAAAGTTTATACCTGGTAGCACTTACTGTTCTTTTAATCGAGTGGCGGGGAAATGTTCCCTTTTCCCTCACCAAACCTGAACCTTCCATACCCAGAGGAACTTTAAGTGTTTGTAGGTGGGCAAAGAATGGCGTGGGTCCCTATTCCTGCGCTTTCTATGGTATCAAAGCAGAACTGAATTCCAGTTTTAAGGGACTGGAAAAGAAAGGGGGCGTGGCAGGGAAGAGAAGTGACTTGATGGAGCAAGAGAAGATGATTGGAAGATGATTTCATAGTGCGGGCGGTGGATGAAATTACAAGGACTGGGTGGGCGAGTTTACAAAGCTTGGAGTCAGGTAGTGTAGACAAATTAGTCACCCAGAAGGTACAAGGGTTGGGAAATTATGGAATCGGCACTAGCAGGAGGCAAAACGAAGAGGGAAGAGGTATGGGAATACAGGGTCAACGTGCCACAAGCCTCAGACCCGGAGACCCGAGGAAACGTGATGACACGGCAGTGGGACCAGAGGAGGGACTGAGACAGCTGGGAGCATCTCCAGGAGCCAGGTGGGAGGCACACGGCCGTAAAGGGGGCACACCCGTCTGAAGCAGAGCAAGAGGGGCCCTCACTGAATCTAATTCCAGATTCCCAGTAAGCGTAGAGATGCAGGCGGGCAGGGAGGGCTCCGGGGTCCCGAGCGACAGACACCTCACTCACCTGGTTGGTGACCTGAAAACGAAACAGAACACAATTTATAGAAACAAACGCTCTGAACTAGCCGCGGCAGCCCGCTTCTCTCGACCCCTGCCCGCGGCCTCAGGCCGAGATCCGAGCCGCCCTCACCTCGGGATTGGCCTCCAGCGGGAGCCAGCGCTGACCCTCCATTGCCGCTCCGCCCGGCCCCTCTCCAAGTCTGACAGCCGCCGCCGCTTCCGCCCCCGCGCTTCTTGACCTGGGACCGTCTAACCCTCCGCCCCCACCCCGGGTGGGGGGCTGAAGAACGAAGAAAAGCTTGACAACACTCTAGTGCCTTTCTTGCTCTCTGCAGAGCCACACTCAAGTCTTACAAATTAAGATACAATCGAAGAGGAGAAGAGAAGCCACCTCCCTAATGCACAAAGAAAAAGAATCTGAATCCACAGCCAGCTCCCCTCTCACTTGGACTGTTCCTATCCGAGCCAGGCGCTCGCGCGCTACGCATGCGCCATGCACGGGCCTGGGACCGCATGTTCACGCGTGCCCTGCCATTCCTGCAGCTTCATCTGGAGGCGCTAGGGGGAGCCCGAGAGGCGAGACGGGATTGCCACCCACACATCAGGAGTACTGAAGGCCACGGATGCCCGGGAATCCTGTCCCAAAAGCTCATTTGTCACGGTGCAGAGGTGATATGTTGGCCTTTTCTGATGTTGCAGAGTCGGGGGGGAGAGGGGGAAAGGGTGCCCTCTATATACCTATTGAATTACGTCTGAAAAAAAATGTCAAGCACAGATTATGAATCAGACCCTGCACTCACCATAGAGTAGAAGAGGTGGACAGAAGAATGAAAAATCACAATGAAGTATGATACGTATGTGATAGTGGTAGCATGAGGTGTAGAACTGCAGAGATGTGCAGCTCAAGGGGGAGGGTGTGTCCAGAAGCTTCCAGCAGAAGGTGTACAGCTGGAGTGAGCCCTTAAGACGTAGTAGACATTAGCCAGGCAGAGGAAGATGCTCTGCAGAAGGGAAAGTGTGCACCGTGGCTGTAGAAACCAGCAGATTGAAGCGCTGAGGCTAGAGGTGATGCTGGAGCGGTAAGAAGGGACAAGCCCATCAAGACATCCGGGCTGCATTCTGAAAACAGCAGGGAACCACGGTAGGATTTTATGCAGGATTTTCTTTTTCTTTTTTAAAAAATTTTATTTTATTTTATTATGTTATGTTAGTCACCATACAATACATCATTAGTTTTTGATGTAGTGTTTCATGATTCATTGTTTGCGTATAACACCCAGTGCTCCATGCAGTACGTGCCCTCTTTAATACCCATCACCAGGCTAACTCATCCCCTCACCCCTCTCCCCTCTAAAACCCTCAGTTTGTTTCTCAGAGGCCGTAGTCTCTCATGGTTCATCTCCCCCTCCAATTTTCCCCCCTTCATTTTTCCCTTCCTTCTCCTAATGTCTTCCATGCTATTCCTTATGTTCCACAAATAAGTGAAACCATATGATTGACTTTCTCTGCTTGACTTATTTCACTTAGCATAATCTCCTCCAGTCCCATCCATGTTGATGTAAAAGTTGGGTATTCATCCTTTCTGATGGCTGAGTAATATTCCATTGTATATATGGACCACATCTTCTTTATCCATTCGTCTGTTGAAGGGCATCTCAGCTCTTTCCACAGTTTGGCTATTGCAGATATTGCTGCTATGAACATTGGGGTGCATATGGCTCTTCTTTTCACTACATCTGTGTCTTTGGGGTAAATACCCAGTAGTGCAATTGCTGGGTCATAGGGTAGCTCTATTTTTAATTTTTTGAGGCACCTCTACACTGTTTTCCAAAGTGGCTGTACGAACTTGCATTTCCACCAACAGTGTAAGAGGGTTCCCCTTTCTCCACAACCTCGCCAACATTTGTTGTTTCTTGCCTTGTCAATTTTTGCCATTCTAACTGGTATAAGGTGGTACCTCAATGTGGTTTTGATTTGAATTTCCCTGATGGCTAATGATGATGAACATTTTTTCATGTGTCTGTTAGCCATTTGTATGTCTTCTTTTGAGAAATGTCTGTTCATGTCTTCTGCCCATTTTCTGACTTGATTATTTGTTTTTTTGGGTGTTAAGTTTGAGAAGTTCTTTATAGATCTTGGATAGCAGCCCTTTATCTGTAGTGTCATTTGCAAATATCTTCTCCCATTCTGTGTGTTGCATCTTTGTTTTGTTGACTGTTTCATCTCTCTCCTCCACAAGACTATAAATCCCATGAGGCCTGCAGGAGTGTCTTTTTAAATTCTTCACATTGTTCCCTAAAGCCTAGCCCAGTGTCTGATACATAGTAGATGCTCCATAAATACTTGAGGAACGAATAGAGTCATCAGATATGCTGAAACATAATTTGTCAATAATGTAGGATTATTTGTAAGAGTGAAATGATGAGAAAATTAAGGCAATAACCATGGAGATGGAGAGGTAGGCACAGATTAAAGAGAAACTGTTTTAGGGAGGTATACCTTTGATGAGCAGGAATTGTCTGTTAACTCCAGAGATTTGACCTGGGATCCAGTGCATATTGCTACTCTGCACCCAGTAGAGGGCATTCTGGGAGAGGAGCATTTAGAAGTGAGAAAAAGATAATTTTATTATGCTGAGTTTGCCTTTCTTGAGGAACTTCCAACTCTCCCATTCATGTTCTTCTGGCCACTGTTCTTTGACCTCCGAGGAATTTCCAATCCTTTGACTCCTTTCTCTCCTTATCTATCTGATAGATTGCTGTTATACCTACCCGAAAGTGACTTGGTAAATCTGAAATGTCCAGCTTATGATAAGCAGCCATAGTTGCGTAATACTTAGTTGTATGGCCAGGTTTTCAGTGGCATGCCAGGGGCTGCTTTTCAAATAACAGGCTGTCAGTGAATGGCCTTGCTCCAGAACCCTGAGGTTCTGCACTGTGATTCCTTTGTTAGGATTACCTAAGACTCCACATAGCATCCTTACTGACTATGGACTTCTCTAGTACCGTTGGATCTGCTGAGACATAGGGCCCAACAGCAAGCAGCTTGCATTTCAGCATGGACTTGCTGCAGATCACTGTCTTGCTCAGGGACCCACTCAAACTGGCAGCCATCCATATTGCCCAATAAATGTGTTGCAGCTATATTTTCAAGTGTGGCATATGCTGCTATCGAAAAGCCAAAGAGGCCCAAGTCCTCTGCCTCTTCTCTATTAATAGGAATTGCAAGATGAAGTAAGTTATTCTTCACCTTAGAGAGGCTGTCCCAGTATGCCCCCAAACTTTCAGACTCATAAAAATATTATATAGTAGACCCCCAGTCTTTGTAGGGTTTAACTTCCACACTCTGGCATGAATGTACCTGTCATCATATTGAAGACAGTATTTTTCAAACTTGAATATACAAACATCTGGGGAATCTGAAATGCAGATTTTTATTCAGTAAGTCTGAGATGGAGCTCAAGAGTCTGCATTATTGGCCCCCATTTTTTTTAACCCTCCTTTCACCTCCCTCTTTCACCTTATAACTTTGAAGTTTTTTCCCACTAAGGGGCAAAGCAGTGTTGATCCTTGTTTTTCATGGATTCTGCATTTTGAATTTGCCTACTTGCTGACATTATTTGTAACCCCTAAATTAATACTCATGTCACTTCCACAGTCATTGGCAGACATGCGCAGTGGCAAAAAACTTGAGTTCCCAGCTAAGGTTGAGCAGGCAATATTCTTCCTTTTTGTTTTAGGTCTCGCACTAGAAACAAATGTCCTCTTTGCAATTTTTAATGCCGCTTTTTTTTTTTGCATTTTTCCACTTTTTATTGATGATTTCAGAGTACATATGGCCCCAAGCATTATGCAGACGTTCTGTCCAGTGTTCCCAAACACAAGAAGGCTGTGATGTGCCTTACACAGAAAATACATGTGTCAGATAAGTTCCTTCAAGCATGATTTATGGTATTGTTGGCCAGAAGTTTAATGTTAATGACTCAACAGTATGTATTAAGTGAGATGTCTCTAAACAGAAACACATTACACAAGGTTATGTATTGATCCGTTAATGAAAATGTGATCAGAGGCTCACAGGAAACGAACCTGTATTTCCCCTGGGGACAATGGTTCTGTATTTAGTAATGCAGTATTCATGGTGACTTTATAGACCATAACTACCACAAATAATGAGAATCAACTGTGTATTTCCCCACTCCTTGACACTGAGTTCAGCCATGTAACTTGTTCTGTTCAATAAAATAGGGCAGAAATAATGGTGTGCCTGTTCCAAGTCTAGACCTTAACAAGCTTGTGTTTCTGCTTGCTGTCTTGCACTTCTACCATCGCCTTGAGAAGAATGTGCTCGGGCTAGCTTGCTGGTCCCAGAAACACAGTAAAAGACACCTGGAGCACAGCAGAACCACCTCAGCTGAGCCCAGACTAGACTGGCCAACACATTGCTAACCCTTGAGAATTGTAAGGTAAATAAATGTTTGCTTGTAGTATGACTTTGGGAATTTGTGCGTGTTGGGGAGGGGGTCGTTAGTTTGTTTTTACATAGCAACAACTAATTGCTATACCTGCCAAAACTTCAAATAATCAAATTAAAAGGAATAGCCAGGTAATTGATACACTTGCCTCAAATTCTAAAAGCCAAATAAAAATGTGAAGTTTTACCTCCAGAAATTTTAAAAATGTATATGGTAATGCAACTTTAATTTGTTAATGAACTGTTTAACTATGTTAACTAAGTGAGATATTATTTTAGCAATGAAGCGGTGATATATATTCAGATTTGATTCAGGCTTTATTCTTAATAGAAACTTTGGCATTTCTCATATATTCGTTGGATCCTTACCACAATCAAGTAGGCAGGTGAGATAGGGACGTCGCCACATTACAAACACGGTAGCTATGGCTTGGAGAGTGTAAATTGTTTCCCAAGGCTGCACAAGTGGCAGAATGGGACTTCAACCTAGATTTCCAGCAGCAGATCCAAAATTCTTTTCAAAGCAGGAAGGAGGCAGGAGCAGTGAAGATGTTGACAAGCCAGGGAGGGTACTCAGAAGATAAGCTGGGGATTGAAGGAAGCTAAAAAGTATTGTTGCAACAGAAGGTGCCAGAATTCCTCTGAACTGTCTATTCAGAAAAATTTCACACCATTGATGAACCACTTAGGTTGGAGATTGAGCCCCAAGGACATCCGAGTCAGCAGGAGGACAGGCAACAGAAATTCATTATTACACCTCTCTTCATGAGAGAAGAGTGTGAGGAGGGTTTGAGAAGGTGGGAAAGGAAGAAGGAGAGAGAGGATGAAAAGGAGGGGATAAAAAAAGAAGGAGGTAAGTGAGGAGCTTGAGAGAGGAGACTATCAGAGAAAAATCCTAGAACTTAGTGGATTTCAGGATATCTCATTTTATTTTAATTGATGATGAATGAGTTTAGACATTTTTCAAGTTG